CAATAGTTGAACACGAGTACAGAAAGTCAAGGCACAAGAAGATTACACAAAAGCAAACAAGTAAGTGAGGAATAGCACTAGAACTGACAGGCAAAAATGTGTGGAAGAACTAGCAGCGACAGTGGAAAAAGTTTCAAAAGAAGAAAATACGAAACAACTATAAGACACGACGAAGAAACTGACAAAGAAATATGACTAAACCAGAGAGACTGGACAAGGACAAAGAGGGCAAGACAACAACCGAGATTCAAGAAGAGAGGAACAGATGGACAGAATACTTTGAGGAACTCTTGAATAGACATGTTCCATTGAATCCAACGGACATCGAAGCAGCACTCACGGACTTTCCCATAAATGTCACTCCGCCAACGACCGAAGAAATCAGGATGGTCGGCCATCAGATAAATCAAGAGTGGGAAAGAAGCGGGGCCTGACAGTATACCATCTGGAGCAATGAAGTTAGACACAGAAGCAACTGCAAACATGTTCCACATTCTATTCAACAAGATTTGGGAAGAAGAACAAGTATTATAAACAGACTTGAAAGAGGTATACCTCATGAAGTTAGCAAAGACAAGGAGATCTGAACAAATGTGAGAACTACAGAGGCATCACATCATTGTCAGTACCATGAAAGGTTTTCGAGTGTTGTTGAACGGGATGAAAGACTCAGTAGACGCTCAACTTCGAGATCAACAGGCTGGACTCCATAAGGATCGATCGTAGACAGGCCGAATAACGACACTACGGATCATCGCTGAACAATCAATTGAATGGAACCCGTCGTTACAAATCAACTTTAGTGACTATGAGAAAACCTTTGAGAGTGCGGATAGGAGGACATTGTGGAAATTTCTTTGACACTATGGTGTACCTGAAAACGTCTTCAACATCATCTGGAATTCGTACGACGGATTACAGTGCAAAGTGGTGCATGGAGGACAGCTGACAAATGCATTTCAAGTGAGGACCGGAGTCAAACAAGGCTGCTTACTCTCCCGCTTCCTCTTTCTTCTGGTGGTTGACTGGATTATGGAAACCTTCACATCTGAAGGGAGGCACGGAATAAATTGGATAGTTTGGATGCGACTAGACGATTCGGACTTCGCAGATGACCTATTCCTTCTATCCCATACATACGAATAAATGCAAATGAAGACAATCAATGTGTCAGAAGCCTCTGCATCAGTAGGCCTCAACATACACAAAGGAAAAGCAAGATCCTCAAATGTGACAAGAAGATCACTAACCCAGTCGTACTTGATGAAGAAACTCTAGGAGAGGTGGAAAGTTTTACGTATCTGAGAAGCATCATCGATGTACGTGGGGGATCTGATGCAGACGTAAAGGCGAGAATTAGCAAAGCAAGGACTGCATTCCTAAAGTTGAAGAACATTTGGAATTCAAAACAACTGTCAGCCAACATAAAAGTTACAATCTTCAATGTAAACGTCAAGACAGTTCTACTGTACGGAACTGAAACTTCGAGAACTACTACAACCGTCATCAAAAACGTTCAAGTAATTACAAACAATTTTCTACACAGTATGCGGAATATCCGTTGGTCGGATGCCATCAGCAACAGCCTACTGTACTGTGGGGGAGGGAATATGAAGAAATATACTAAATCACTTTCTCTGAGTACATGTACTACAAAACTATTAGATTGTAATACTGATAATAACATTTATAAATTATAATTGACTTTAATATGTAAAATGATTTCGAGTTAACATGTAGTTCGAATTAGTCTGTTTTTATACAATTTCATGAAAATATCTTTTTGAGCACAACGCTATGGGTAACTTCTCCATTCAATCATATTTAGTAGGTTTTATTCTGTAATCATTCTCGTGATTAAAGAAAAAATAAGATTTACAAAACTCATGCTTATTAGAAAGAATGATATGTAAGAAAAGTTCAATTGATTTGAGATTCTTAAAATATATCACATAAGTTAGCTCATGAAAGATCATTCCAAAAACTGAGATGCCACTGTTTTACATTTGACAGTATTTATTTACTTATTTTATTTAAACACATAAATATTAGTACAAGGGAGCACCAAATATATATGCACCGTACAAATCTCATTCGATTTATGTGAAGGCTGTGATAGTGCCCAGACTGAAGCAGGTGGTTTTCCTAGGGGGCCACACCCGAAGCCTTCTCCCCATATGTCTGATCCACAAGGCAGTGGAGCATCGTAATGAAATGCAGTCCCATGGTAGCCGGTGACCAACGATTGATTCATGCGCCATTTGTTCCCTCAGGATATTGGAGCTCGTGTGCACCATTGGTTTGGAATCAGGGTTTTCCAACTTCCCTACGTGAACTTTCCGTGTCCATCAACCTGGTAAAAGCGCAGGACATTTACTTTTCGTCCTGTCAATTTCGTAAACAGTACCCGCTCTGTGAGAAGGCAGTGAGTAGGACTTCCCTGACAGAGGCTATATACGCGTGGCCATGTGAGAGCATTTTGAGAGGAAGAGCGGACTCTCCTCACTCTCAGCCGTACCAGGGCATTTGGGGGCACATTTGACTGTAAACAGATTTGTTTTATTTTCTATATCTTAAGATAATTTTGAAGATTCGACGTACGTTAAATCCAAAACAAAATACTTTAACTGGCTCTTTCAGTTCAAATTCATGTTTAGATATAGATATTTGATCTGCCAAGCTTTCATTATGTTATAAAGTGTAATTAACTCGAATATTGTTAAGAATTGAAATTTCAATAAATCTCTTAGCTGCAAAATACATCTATTCATCTAAACTGATTCCACAAGCTCTGATATCGATATTATTTGATTTTTATGTTGTAATAGCTCAACAACATTTAAATAAACTTAGACGTTATATTTCATTTTATGCTCGATATGTTGAAATCATTTATCATAATACGATTACATAATTGACTATCGCCTCAGTAAGTATAATTATATGTGGAATTGTGAACAGATTATTAAACCCCATGCAATACTCTTTACATGATTATGAATTGATTAGAATTTGGACTGAACAAATAAGAACATATTTACTACTTTGATATGCTAATTAAACTATTTATCATAAAAGAATTCTTGCGAATATTAAGTCATTATCTTGAACAAACTAAACTGACTTTTCTCGTTTACCTCAAATGGAATATATCTTGTCTTAATTTCTTCTTTTGTATCAAATATATTTGGAAATGTTAAGGAGTCGATGATGACACTAATCATTTAGAGATAACGCATTTTTATACCACTGAAATGAAGAATTTCAATATTAATAGAATTGTGAGATCAGGTTAATTTTAATTAATTACTGATCGTTTTCATTACATTCAATTCCTTCAAATCATTAGACTAAGACTTTGTAATTAGGCTGAAATGAACTGATTGAAACCATTGTTTCTGTTTGCTAGGTCGTAGATGCGCACTGCTGAAGACAAAGTGGCCATCGATTGCTTCCGGATTTTCAATGGTTGTCTAACTTAGATCGATTCGCGATCTCAATTTAAACAATTTGATTAACAAGCAGAACTTTGCGTTTCCTGCCTTGTTTTGGTTTTAAGTTATCAATCAATTCCAACTAAACTTAATGAAAGACTTTGTTCACTTTCCATTTCTTACGTTTTCTTCCTGTTGACTTGTGAATTAACGACAATAGATTTTAAAGAAGTTAAAACCCATTAATATTTGATTATATATATTTTCAAATGTGTTTGATGATTGTTAAGAAATTCGGAACTTAGTAATCGTATTTGTTAATGCTAAATATTGGACGGAATAGTAAACAGGGCCAATCAACTGTTGATAAGCCGCCTAATTATTCTACACCAGTAGAATGAGGTACACATAGTGAGTTAGGATATTTGGTCAATCAGACCATGAATTACAAAGCTTCAAATCTATCATCTTCGATTGATTCAATCGATATTTTAATATAGAATGAAAGGTTCACGATAATTTAATAAAAGAGTAAAGAAAACAACTCTAACTATATAAAACTAACAGATGACTGACTAATGATACATCCTCAAAAAGTTACAAGTGTGTTTATGAATGACTAAAACGTCTACATCAGTAATTTAGTTCTTCAGACCTAGTGACTAGCGAAACAAGATTGAAGTGTCTATATCACATTTAATTGAAACACCTGAAGAATAACGACTATTTGTTAAGAAAACTTTGAACTACAACTATACCAGGGCGCTCGAAACCAACCAAAGACTGAATTCTCTTATCACCCAGTTCTCTACATATTCGATTATGGGTGACCAAACTCTTACATTTCGTCAGGTGACAAATCTCTATTTATTGCCTGTAAAACACTTTGGTCTGCTACATGTAAAGTGGGAATACGTACGAGATATTTTTTATACTGTTTGACTTTGATTCTCCTTATGTTAATGTTTTACTAGATAGAAACCATGTATTCTATCTGGAAAAGCATGGAGTACAACATACTGAAGAGCTAATCAACTTGTGGAAGTTAATAAACCAAACAGTAACGTTCTTGATTTTCATCCCGCACAGGAATAAAAATTCAATTATCTCTCTTCTCATACAAATCTGAAGGATCATTGTTTCGAATATTATGGAAGAAAAGATGATCACTGTAACAAAAATACTGACTGAAAGTGGAACAAAATCTCCATGTTAACAAAACGAACTAAATTCTATGGTCTTCCTTAAAACTTTTGCATATAATCAGAAAGAAGAAGGCCCACCAAATCAGTCATCATAGTTAGACAGCATAAAAACACCAATGAAAGTTAAGCATCAGCTAGGAGGGTATAAGAGGTTTAAGAATTCTTAAGATATTAAAAGCTATGATCCAGATTCCGTGGAAATAAATAAAATTGCAACAAGTTTGAAATATTTTATTACAGGGCACTGTTTAAAGTGTTCACAAATTCACAGAAACTGATAACTAAATCAAAATGTTTTACAAAATGACAAGTATCATACACAATAAACTAGATTTACTACAAACAATAAAAATTAGATTACATAATTATGTGTGGTTCAGAAACAGATTGTGATATTAAATTATGGGGAAGAACAAGTGCTCCATTGAGAAAGAGTTCATCTTTCACAGATACATCTTCTCCTAAAACTGTAACATTTTCCATTCTTACCTACGAAAAAAATACAAATAAAATTTCATAAGCTATAAAAGTAGTGATAATTATTATTACAAATAAATACTCATTTATAACGTTATTCACCTATTCTAATATTCAATACATACTGCTTAATTTGAATGTTTATTTATTTGAACACATAAACATTAGTACAAGTGCCAACCAAGTACATATGTGCCTCACAATAACAGAGACAGAGAATGTAAAGTGAGTATAGTGAAAAATAAGAACAACAACGAACAGAAATTGGAGTATGAGGATGAAATAATAATAATAATAATAATAATAATAATAATAATAATAATAATAATAATAATAATAATAATAATGGGAGAAACAGTTCAGTTAGTAAAGACACAACCAGGAAGAATTTTTTCAGTTAAAGAAGTTACGTTCACTTTTTATCAAGAAAGTAAAAGAAAGTCACAGCAGAATCGCCACTGTCTTCTATTTTGAGTCATATATGACAACGTCTGAAGCCACTATGCTGCATCATCTCTAAAACCTCAACCAGGGAGTCATGACGGACGAACAGAAGCCAGTTCTATACAGCTTTCTCCCATACTACGACACCATGTCATACACTGACCACCTTTCCGCTTTTTCAAACCGGTCCCAGCGTCGGAAAATAATGCACGACGTGGAATTCTATGGGCCGACTTTCGTAGGACATGTCCAAGCCACCGAAGTCGGTGTTTCAAAATAGTGACACCAACCGAATTATCGTCTGTGACCGAACACACGATGCCGAATCTCTACATTAATGAAATGGTGTTGCAACTGGACGTCAGCAATCTTTCGGAGACAACTCGAACGAGCTAGGTTTCATAAGCATAGAGCGAAACCTCTCCCACCAACTCGTTGTAGATACGACCTTTGTAACCAGACTAACATCACAAAGGCACCAAAGATGGCCTTAATTGGCATAAGCCTCGCTGGCTCTCATTATACGTGAATTAATCTTATTTTTCACGCCACCACCAGCACTTACGCAGCTACCCAGATACACGAACTTCACTACCCAGAGTCAGTGCAGGTGCTCCGTTCTGCTAGTCTTGTGAAGGTACTTTGCATTCTAAAGGTGCAAAACACATACCACACCCACAGACACTGACTGTCAACGATTAAGTGCGGATTGCATGGCTTGGGTATCATCACATGGTAAGACAATATCATCTGCATACCCAATGTCGGAAAGTCTCTCCAGGCAACAGATCCACATCACCATTACCTACATCCATCAGAGCTGTTTCCAGAACGTAGTCGATGGCGGAGTTGAAGAGGAGTGGTGAGATTGGGCAACCTTGTCTAACAGCACTACTTGGATAGAATAATAAAGAGGTGGTTGTATGCCCTCACTCTGCCTGAGGTGTTTGTATATAGGGATTTCAAGAAGTTAATAAACTTTTCATGCACACCCTTCAATAGACAATCCCAGAGAACAGTGCTGTCCGACGAATCGAAAGCGGCCCTAAGGTCAAGAAACACTACGATTGTTGGCCTGAAATAAGTATGGTGGTGTTTTAACGTTTGGTGGAGGGTGAAGATATGATCAATACATCCTCGACCAGAATGAAAACCAGCCTGTTCTTCATCAGTCAATCTTTCTCGGGTTTTGAACAATCTACAAACTTTGACAGAAACCAACAGTTTGGATGCAATTTGAAGTAGACTAATCCCCCGATAGTTGTTGAAGAAACGACGTGAACATTTTTTAAAGACAAGAATTACATGTCAATATTTCAATTTTTGATAACAAAAGTGACAAATACTATTCTTGTTTGACAAATTCACTTACATACACGAATGATATATTTTATTTCAGGTAGAAGATACATTAAATATATCAGTAGAATAAATTACCTCTAGAACTATAATGTAAAAAATCTTTTGAGTACTAATATCACATTAATTTGGGGAAACTTGTGTAAAGAAATTTGTACAAAACAGTATTATGGTTAAAAAAAATTGTAATATTGAATGTTCTATTTTTAGAAGGGTTTTAAGTTTTTCACTGCTTATATTTGAAGACTATGTTCAATTAGTTTCTGTTAGTGAATGTGACTGAGTAATAATACACCTAGTTGATAAATCTCAAATAGGATGACAAGCATGTCTTTGATTGAACTGCTAGCTAATATTCCAAGTATAATTTTTAGCTGATATTTTAATTATATCAACAGAGAGATAAGATACAAACAATAACTTATCGAAATGCTGGAACGATCACTCAGCCTTAATAAATATACATATCTTAATCCTGATACGTTAGGTTTATTCCAGAAAGGTATTGTATATCAAATTCATTATTATTCTATGATCACTGCCCATGTACAATGAGACTATTAGATGAGCACTTTGAGAGTTAAGTGAAAAATATGCTGGGCAAATATAGTCAATTGATTGATAAGGCTGTGAACATTTACAGACTAAAGTGGTTAAGACCTGAATTATACAATATTCAACCACCAACAAACTCCATATGCAATATCGTTCAGTAATATACGAGTAGACTGGAAAACAGCTAGAGTGACTTAAATAACATATGGGATTAGTCAGTCGGGTATCTAATGGTTAGTCTGGTCTGTATATTGGAAGATGTAAACTCCCTAATTTGGAGCAACCCAAGCACTTTAATCAGTGGTTTGAAACCTTGGACAACACGGGCCAAAATAGAAGCAGTCATTCATTGTTTTCCTGTCCAATATTAGTTTATACCTTTCTTCTTCAGATTTTATGCGTTCTTTCCAACATATCTTTGGTAGGAGTAGTTTTCCGCTATCTTTGGAATTACTTTTCTAACTTCTCCATTTAAACTGTCGTTTCCCATTGGATATTCTAATAGGAATTGTAGTAATTTGTGCTAGTCCATATCTGTTCCAGGTCCTATGTTATTTGTGGCTGACTGATCGATTAGCTTTATTTAAAAAACAATTCGTTTTTTAGCTGGAAAAAAGGTAGTGTCCTACAGTTTAAGAAATCTGACTAGTAATATGATACAATGAACTCAATGATAAAGCATAGACTTCATTCCATAATTAGGTAATGGTCGATAGAGTAGCGCGATATATTATGATATAAAAATCTTATAAAGTCTAATCATTTGGTATAAAAATGTGAGTATAGGTCATAAGTTGTTACCAAAATACTAAATACGAACCGCTTAAATATAACTGATATTTAGTCTGAGGTTAAATAATCTTTCTTATTAAAAGTACATTAAAAAATTCGAAACTGTCATAGTGATTAGTCCATGTTGACCTATTGCATGATTTATTTTGAAAGTTAGTATAATGAAATTACTGTGTCTGGCAACATTGATGTCATTTCTTTTTAGAGTAGTTATCATGAGGTGATAGTTCTGAAATGAATAAGCCAATTACATTTATTCATTATCCAGTAAATGAAAGATAATTTTTCTGGTTAGTGTTTCTTTAGCGAGTCAGTTTTCTACGGGATGGGGTCGCTAACCCCATACCCAACCCTCCTCCTGTATCCGGGCTTGGGACCCGCAGTAGCCCCCGGAGGAGCTACAGGCGGAGTTAGTAAATGATAGATCCTGTAAGTTAATTCTGAAAAATTAAAAATGCAAAAGAAAACTCTACATGAGGGCAAATCATGATGTGGGATCACTTTGTGAAGTGATGGACTGTTAATCTGAACCATTTTGATGGGTCGAGACCACTTGATTGAGGTCTGTGTAATTATCACGACGGATGGTGGAAGGTTTTGGCTGACATTGCTTAGAACCAGGTTTATTGATGCTGATCCATTCATTCTATATCTTTATCTAGATCTTGAGCTCCAATATCCATTCATATACTATAGCAGATCACGTACATTTGAGTTTGTTCACATTTAATTTGGTTAAGCCCTTTTGTTAACTTATTCAACGGACAGAGTCATTCGTACAATAACAATTTATCTATATCATTGTACCTTTATTGTTGTTGCACTTGGATGAACATGTATGCTTGAGCATTGCTTACCGCCCAAGCACATATTCATTCTGCTAGCTTTAGTGTTAGTCGCCTAAATGATAAGATGATTTATTCATTTTCCTGTGTATATATATGTACATTTTAACTCGGTTCAAAAACTCGCTCGCTTGCTCTTCGACCCTCGCATATTCTTTTTGCTTCGTGTGCCTGCGGTTTTGGTGGTTTGTGCGTGATGCAATAATAAACGTGATCAATGCTTCGTATTCGTCTCCTGATTTATACACCATTGGCTAGTTATCTTGTAACGTTTATATCATAGAAAGACGTAGATAACATTCATGTGATTAGTGTGATAATCTCGAATTTTAAAATATCCTTGTTCTACATAGATAGACTGTGTGAGACAACAAAACAGATTCCAGTGGAGGAAGAATTCATGAAGAAGCGCTGGAAGTGGATAGAACACACATTGAGGAAGTCACCCAACTGCGTACAAGACAAGCCCTCATATGGAGTCCTGAAGGCCAAAAGAGAAGAGGAAGACCAAAGAACACATTACGCCGAGAAATGGAGACAGACATGAGAAAAATGAACAAAAGTTGGAAAGAACTATAAAGGAAGGCCCACGACAGAGTGGGTTAGAGAATGCTGGCGGGCGGCCCATGCTCCATTGGGAGTGGCAGGTGTAAGTAAGTAAAGTAAAACATAGACAGATAATTTTAAATATCACAAAACGAGAAGAATGGTCCGTTCGCTCATACTTGACGGTACGATACAATAATATCAGGCTAATAATAAGAAAACACCGCTGGTAGGGGAAAACTAGAAAATGAAGCAAATAAAAGTATAAAAGCAAGAGAAACAAGGGAAATGAGATGTTTCAAACTAATACACTCAAACAAATCGCTTGATGTACAAATATACATTATATTTGTTTCAATAACCCAATAAAATAGTCCATCTGTTTCCAACACGGGTAGGGCCAATAAGTTAGTGAATTTATTCATTAATGTCATCATTAATTCATTGAGTACCTGAAAGGTGCTTACTTATTACTCATATAATCTTTCATAAACTGATTGACATTTCGAAGTTAAACGCTTTTTTCTTATCAATTTAGACTATGCTAGAAAATGAAAGCTTTGTGCGCAAAAATATTATTCACATACATGGTTTTCTTCTGTTTGGTGAAAGTAAGCAAATATACGAATGAAAATAAATGGTCCCAAAACCAATTACGAATTTATTCACTTATTAAAAACCAGATTCATTTTATTACATTTACAGTACTACGTAGCATTTCAATCTCAATAAGTTATAATGATTTAGATGGAGGACCTTATGGGAATTAAATGAGCATCGTAGCCAAATCCTTTAAAAATCACGTGTATTTTTTTATTATAATACTCTGCACAAAAGTAGTTTTGTTCTTGATAACATTCACTTATTCAATCTAGTTGAAGAATAGATTTTGAAGAAACTTACTGAGAATATTTTTTTACTTCAAATAAAAATGTCTACAGCTAACTTACCACGTACAGATTTATATACTATAAACTGCACTGAGTTAGTGATATTACTTGACTGTACAAACCGTAGTTGGTGGGAGGGGGGGGTTGAACCTGTAAAAAAACTAGTTCAAGGCCGAGTCAACGAATTTAAGTACAGATACTCAAGTGAAAAGCATGTAACTTATCTATTCCTTATTAACTTTTAAGTGAAAACGGGCTAAGTAAAGCGTTACTGTTTAAAAATATTTTGATGAAACTTACTAAACGTGTAAATTTCTTTAGCAGATTATGAAGTAATTAACTAGGTAAAGACTAATTAATTAATGCAGCACAAATCTATTATCCCATTTCATACTGAGCTTATACTCCAATAAATATATAAAATGATATTTCCTAAGTATCTAAATTTAGGATAATGATTCAAAATCAAACTTTATTAAGGAAAATAATGATTGATGGTCACAAAACCACCTTCAGTTTTTATAAAAGTATGCAAAATACAAACAAAGAACCATATCGAATTTTGTACACGAAGTGTTTCAAACAAAATTTTTCACAACGTGATGGTACTGAGTACAAATGTACACGTTAATATTGATGAGTCGCAAGGAAATTTCATAGTTATGTTAGGTGGATGGAGATATTCGTCAGGACACCCTGGACCTAGTCGGTCACTAGTGGGAAAAACCCATCTGGGGTATTGATGGAACTTACGTTCCCTATGAGATTCAAACCCTCATCACCCAGTTTTGCAGACTGAAACGTTATTACTGAGCCAGTCAGGTCACGACTGACCTTCTGTAAGACTGAGATGTTTACAACTGATTGATAACTTAATTGCTTTATAGATTAACGAGGATATTTATCAATTAAACTAATATGGAAAGAATATTTCTGCAACCAAATTAACCTACCCATTTTCCAACAACCGACCTCCAGCCAACAATACAGTTATTTAACCAAGAATGAGATTTAATGATTGATTTTGAAAAGATAGCTGAGTTAGATATACGTACACCATCTTCAATTATGACACCTGCACCAATAGTCACATTAGGGCCTATTCGACAACCATGACCTATTTTTGCAGTTTCGTGCTAAATAAAAGTTTGATTTTCAAAAAAAGGAAGTGAGCAAAGAGAAGCATTTTAGCCGAATTTTATCCAATCAACGAGACAAAAAACATTCAGTAGTGTTCTGCCTTTTTGAAAAATCACCAGACGTTGGTGATGAACAGTTACCCTACTTTTCCGTGTATATATAACCCAGCTTTATATCTGATCAAGAATTACCATGTGGAATTACTCACAGCAAAATATATCTTTAAAATGTTAAATAAAAATAAAAATTACTTTTTATGATACTTAAAAAATATTGGTAAATTTCAACATGTTGTAATATTTCCCTAGAGAAGATAACGCGTGTGACCTCATAACATTTGGATTATCTACGAAAACATTACAACTTTATAAAGATTTCAATATCGTTTATCGAATGACTAGATAGAAATCATATTCCTGAACGACTGTCCTCAAAAGTTTTAACACTAAAAAAATTGTTAATCAGACTTATGATTCAGGTGACCTGGTGTTTTATTATTTACACAGTTTGTCAGTTGATATTTCACCTTTGGCTGGGAAAACATCAAAACAAGATATATATGAATGTAAAGCTGATTGATTCTTCGAAACAGGTATGATTCGGCATCGGAATTACATTGGTTATCCATGGTGAGGATTTCGCTAACGGACAAACCATTGGAAAAGAATTGGTCTTTGATTTTTAACTTCCTGATCATGACGTTCTTTTCTAATTTATGCAGACTGTATCTGTTTCTATGCTTTTTAATTTGAAATCACATTTGTTCATGTATGTAAATACAAATGATAATACATTGTTGCATTTTACGACTAACCAATGGTCATAAAAGCTTAGCTAAAAAAGATAATTGAATTGAACAAGTAAAATTCTTTAAAGCTTCTGTGGGTAATTTCGTTTTATTTCATCGCAGAATATAATGGATATTAGAAAAAGAGAATGTAAATAATAAATCTGATTTACGGCAACGCACTGACTCCATTATGGACGATTATAAATGAACCGTGAAATATGAATTTTCCGTTAAGCTAACTCTATTAGTCAACAGCGGTAATAAAAGCCAAGTACAAATTGAGTTGGAAGAATTTATTGCGGATATTGATTTATTCAGACGCGCTGTAAAAGATGAATCCAGAAGGAAGGCTTCCCAGTCTACTTCATTTTACTAAATTTGACTAAGCAGGGAACGAATACCTTACGCGAAAAATAAACACACGCATACATATGCCCATATAAAAACAACGACAGTCACAAGCGAAAAACTGACAAGTACAAATATATTTGTATACAGTGACTAAGAGAAATCGGATTAATTTATAAAAGATGGAATATTGTTAGCAATGGAACTCAGGACGCACACTTTATCCTATCTGAGGATCGTCGGCTAAATGTATCTGGACCCCAGAGTTGATATTTACTATGGAACTTGAACCCAGTGCCGTTCTCTTGAGACCTCATAACGTAATCTACGTAACTACTGAGTGAGTCATCCATGCAATAGATATGAATTTTATTTCAACGCGAAACGGTTTGGATATTTTGATATTTTGACTGGAATTCGGTCATTCTTAGTTGAAACGGACGTTACTGGGTTCAAGTCTCGAAGTGAATATCAACTGTGGGTCCAGGTACGTCCATATTGGACGAAACGCGCGTTCTGAATTTTACTACTAGCCATACTCCATATATTCTATACCAAATTGTGTCATGATGATTTTGTCGAGGCAATCTACAGGGGATCCACATATCCCAACCAGAACTGATCGAATTTCAGTCGAAATATTAACAAGGGGATAATGCAAACCACTTCAAATCGGATTACATCAATTTGCTTATCCAAGCGATAACATAAATCACTTTTTTATAAGGAGCCGATACGAGCACTATAGATTTTATTCAGTCATACAGTATATAATATTACATCATCGCATAAATTAATTCCAAAGATAGAATGAGTAGCAGTTACTGAGTGTTTGATGAATCAAAGGTAGAGAGATTTCACGTACAACCAATTAAAGCAAAGAGCACGTGTTCATACTGAACGTTTGCTGTAGATAACTGCAGTTAAATAACATATCATGACACATATTTAAAAAACAAGACTAGTTCTATCTAGTTTTTATTTCTCTCTCCAAGTAAATGCTCCCATTAGAGATAAATCCCATGCACTGGTGTAAAAAAAAGGATGTTGACTATATGTGTTCTAATAAATTTCTAAGTAAGAAAATTCATTTTGAGATGTAAAGTGTTGGTTGACTGGAAACCCTGAACTTTGGTTTTGTACTATTTAGCAATCATTAGGGAACGTATGTCAGTAATTAATATGGTTGGACAAAAAGAGTAAAACCAATTCAGTGGGAAATTTGATCAGTATAATGCTGCACATATGTGTTCACGTAATAAATAATTGATTAATTGGTGCTAAATACTACTTAGTCAAACTATAAACATGTGATTATTAATCTGACTGTATAAAAATAATATAAAAAGTAGTGTATGCGTATATTATTTTAGCTCATTTTGAGGGTCAAGTAGATCCATATCAGGAGCCTTTTCGCTTTCACTATGCGTTGACAAATTGGGGTTCTTAGCATCGAGCGTAAGTCATTTAAGGATATCTGCAGACACAAAAATGTTAGGCATAACAGTAATATTGTTGAGAACTGGTGATCCCTGACGGGTTTGATTCCGTGTCACCTAGCTTTATAATCAAAGACGTTAGTACTGAGCTATTCGAGGCTAACATAACTACAAATGTATTTTAAGAATAAAAGAAATAAGATATATTTAACTTTATTTTAAGTCGTGTTCTAGTTAAACATTAATTATGTTAATTATGAAAGATAAGTAATTAGGTTCAGTAACCTGTTAGTATTTTTTGGAGGTACAATTGTCACCCATACACTGTAAATATCAAAGAAACTACCAGCTTCCTTCACACACGTCTAGGCTTTATAAAACATCAATAATCTAAACATATCTATACTTTTCATGTTATTTCCTCTAACGAAAAAACTATCTCAAAATCTATGCATATTTCATTCAAGAAAAATAAGAACGCGCTTTTCAAATGATTTGCATGTGAAAGTCTTTTGAGTGAAAAAGCAAATTATATTCACACGTAAATGAAATGTTTACTAAACATAAATAAAAACTCACGACAAGAACATTTCCTATCAGATTTGGATCAACTGTTAACAAAGGTGATTTACATTCATATAAATGGCCCAAATACAGTCGCATGCCCGTTAGATAATCTGCAGGCTGACCAATATCCATCCAAAATCCTTATGTAAAAACAAATAATAGGGTGAATTCAGCAGAAAATTATTGATGTTTAGGCATTATGGTAAACATTTTAAAAAATGATTAGGCAAAGGAGAATTCATATTTATACAATAACAGCTGACAGTAAACTGTTTTGCTGACTTTAAGTATTCAGGTTAATATAAAATATGTGAACTGGAGATTTTAAAAACATTGTAACCACGTACAATAGTGACAATAGACTAATCTGATCTAGTATAATCTATGATTATACCACAGGTTTGAGTTAGTGATCCGGTTTATTTTACGGTAAATTCAAATGAGTTAAGTATGGCGATCGCATATCCTATCAAAATGATCTAATCCAAACTAAATCAAAATAAGTGCTATATTCAAACACACCGAACTGACAATTTGACAAAACGCTTTGTATAATATCACTTGATAATTGAAATCAGCTTCACGAATGATGATTTCCAACCACCCATCAAGTTCATGTAGGGTGTTTATGACTGATAAAGTGTTACATATAAATACTATACTCATGAACAATCAAAACATATTTTGTGCAAACAAACATTATAAAAATTACAACGGACAGTATAAAATAACTGTCGTCATATCAGACATCAATGGTTTGCCTTTATTTTCATTAAAAATGCAGCCAATTTAGATGGACTATCTGTACAAGGCACCATGTATGTAATAAAACTGAAACTATTTGGCTTAGTTACTGAAACAAAATACCATAAGAACACGGTACACATGTTAAAAACGCAACATGTTCTGATACTTAAATGCGCATTTAACATAGTACTCACTTGAATTCTAATAATGCTGAGATGTCAAAAAATAAACAATATTAGAAAATCCTTTGTAGGCAAACAAAGTAGGCAAATTAGAATGCAAGACCTAAACTACATCTTAATCACTAGATTTCCTGCATAAATAGCTACTGAATACTTGTTTTATTTGTTAAGACCTAGATCCGCTGAAAAGCAGATGTATTCCCTGGAAATCATGAAACAGCTGATATGGACCTGGGGAAATTACGTTTCTGTAAAAATTAAGTTGTCATTGCTGTAGTATAACTATTGATACCTTAAAATGATGTTGAATAAATTTTTAGATAGAGATTTACACATGGTTAGCATTTTGTATAGCTGACTAAATAATTTCAAAGTCTATGACAAAGCATTTATTGTAAACGTTGTATTTACGTGCAGAAAAAATGATATTATTAAATGAAGCTATATAAGTTCATCTGATTAGTTCTAATTCAATACTTTCGAATTCTTCTGTTTCAACAAAATGTTTCCAGTAGTCATAAATGGTAAGACCAAAAAAGGTAAAACTAATTACAAGGAAACGATATTTAAGAAACTTTATATAGTATCTGTGCTTCATCATTTAGTAAAGTTTGATGACTCTACTGTGGTATATAAATTCAAGTGGTCTACTAACAGCATTTTAAATGTCTGGGAGTATTCATATAACAGTGGAGCGACAGCTTAGTGGTTAAGGAGTTCGATTTTCAGTCAATACTTCTCAGGTTTAAACCCCAACCTACATAATGCTGATATCGTTAGTACCAACCGCCTAAAGTTGGTTAAACTAATAGGTACTTGGAAAATTAGTTGATAGTAAAAACATCCACATGAAAAAGTAGTGCGTCTGAAGTCCCTACGTTATGAAACTTTTACTGTACATGCCCCGTAATCTAATTTCAAGTTTTCGTTTGTCATAAAATTCTACTGACTAACTTAAAAAATGTTGTGCACTTTAATGCATTTAAGTAAAGTGGCAAAAGTTCAATACTAATCAATAAATAGTCACAGGTTCTCATACTCTGCTTTGATCCTCACTTTGTGTGTCGGCTAATGATACTATTCTGTATTGCCAACTGAAGTATTGACATAAATTCTAGAAGTACCAGTTTAGTGACTTGACACTGAGTAGAGTTGATAGTTTTTAAGTCTACCACGATTAAATGACTCTGAAAAAAGTGGCTTTTCAGCTAAGCTTATTTGAAACCGTTACATAACTGAAGCATCCGACATTACCTTTAGTTACCATTTAATTAAACTTGAAGACAAAGACGTCACAACTTGTAAATCAAGAATTATAAAAACCATTCACACTGTTTGATGATTACTAGCTGACAGTTTTGAGTACAATACTACTAAATGTGAATCAGAAGGATCATTTAAATACAGATAAACATTGGTTCTGCCTGTCTCCGGATAATTTTAAATTTTGGAAACTCTAGCCAATATGTGTTGCAGTACCTGTTGTTTCAACATGAAAGTTGCTAATAACCAAAGGTACCATAAGTTTTTGCCTTTGACACCTGATACACTTCATAGCAAGTGAAACGCTATATCGCGAAAATATGTGGGTTACACTTACCTACGATAGTTCAGAGAAACGCATGAAGCATGTAATATTATTCCAAAAACTGCGTACACTCATAACAATCGAACATTAAAAATGTATCAAATATTATCTGAACATTCTCATTTGGAAATAACTAAAATCGAGGTATAAGTGACTGATATAACGCTGTAAAGCAGAATATTAATGAATCTCCCAAAAAACAAGGCGTTTAGGAACCTTCATTCATCTTCGAATAAACTCGATTGACAGTTATGGGGAACATTCGTCTAATCGAGTGGTGATATTTATATAAATTTTTCATCAAAAAATTCGAACAAAAGTGTTTCGAGCACAATATTTAAAGTGAAAGTTTTACTATAGTCTGAGATTTAGTCTGAGGTTCACCTTGACAATATTACCTTGCTGTGATAATGTAGTGGGACAACTTTAACTAAAGCACATACGTATCAGGTCATACGTTGAATATGATGGAGTCAACAACAAATGAATTTATGTGTAAAATTATATTAATTTGGTAGTCTTCAGGAAACGACCTACCTGAGAATTCAATGCAGTACAGTTCAGAATCCCTCACCATTGCTGGAAAAACAGCTGTTTCAATGGACATCGGCTTGGCCTGTAAATAAAAGAATCTGCAAACAATATCACCTCAATACGCTTAAGAATGGTAGGTTCAAAAATGTAGAGTCCAGCGTTAATCCTGTTAGCGACATATTCCGATGGTTTTTCGACGAAACGTTTCACAAGACCTGTTTGATCATTGTGCACCACAGCACCATACTTTGATGGCTCTTCAACTTTTGTGACCTAGGTATTTGAAACTAATAGAAACACATTTACTGCCATTGTACCCTCTTTTCCATGAGATAAGTGGAATTCTAACATTCTTTTGAAAGGATAATTACAAATGATATCGCTGTTTAGAACAAAAAACCTTTCTCCTGTTAAAAATGGAGCCGCTTGTGCAAGTGGACCTCCTACAGTAACCAAAATATAAGGAACAAAAAACACATTGCCTGTGTCCAGTGCTTCTTTTTCGTAAGAAAAAACTATTTTTACATTGGTGTTTTGAATTACCTTACAAATATTACTGCACAATAATTGACGCCTACTTTATCACAACTTTCTCTTATGCTTGATTCCAAAACTTCAGCTTCACGGTTGATTGCAAGGATAATTTCATTAATGTCAACCTAGAATTGAAACAAAATATAGTCTATTCTACTAATACTTCGAGTAAAGCTTTGATTTGATGAAGTAACATTGGTTTGTTTGCAAATTCGACTAGTGGTTTGGGAATACTAAGTGTTAATGGACGTAACCTAGTGCCATAACCGCCGATTAGTATCAACGCCTTCATTAATGCACGGAAAACAGATGACAGGAAAATGGATGGCCTTGAAAAGTTCCTTTTTTGTGAGACGATAAAAGAAATTTTATCGCAGTTTTTAAAGTGATAAGTATATATATAGCCTATAAATGCCTGACAAAACACTACTATGTTCGCTATTACTGAACATTTTGAACACGGCATCTGGAATTTCATCAACGTCTTGGTTGCTTTCTATTGTATTATAGTTAAGACTTTCGAATAATAGTGCTTGCACTTCATGATAATCATCACTCTGTTCCCTATTTCGCTCTGTCTTGATGAGTTCTAGGGCTTGATCTGTTCGTTTAATACTTTGAAAGCTATTATAAGTACATTTGTTAATGTCAGATTATTGGAACATGCATTCACCATGTCAATCGGAGGCCGTATTAAGGCTCTGACACGACTGTTAACCTCAAAACGTAAAAAACCTGTATTATGTCCAAAAACAGTTGAATTTTCTTCTTAATGACTATGGATTTGTCATTTATTTTTAATAGTTTTAAAGCATGAGTCAATTGAAGCTAGACCACCATGGAAAACCTGGAAACACTGGACGGCCGTTTCGTCCTATTATGGGACTCCTCAGCAGTGCGCATCCACGAACCCGCTCGCGCGAGATTCGAACCCAGGACCTACCAGTTTCGAGCCGAAGCCCTTAACCGATAGACCACTGAGCTGGCATCCAACGGTGTTAATGTCTAACTTCAACTGATCCACGAAGTTGAGCAACCATTCACCAATTGTCTTCAGTGAGTTCCTATCTCACAACAGACGTGGTTTTGAACTCCACTGGTCACTGCTTCTCACTAGAGCTCCTAGTTATACTTCTCGAAGTCACTGGTGAGCATATGATTATATTAATTATCACAGGGGGTTTTGTGGAGATTTAGTATTTTTCATAGTTTTAAAGCATGAGTTGGATGCCAGCTCAGTGGTCTATCGGTTAAGGGCTTCGGCTCGAAACTGGTAGGTCCTGGGTTCGAATCTCGCGCGAGCGGGTTCGTGGATGCGCACTGCTGAGGAGTCCCATAATAGGACGAAACGGCCGTCCAGTGTTTCCAGGTTTTCCATGGTGGTCTAGCTTCAATTGACTCATGCTTTAAAACTATGAAAAATACTAAATCTCCACAAAACCCCCTCTGATAATTTATTTTTAATAAAATAATTATAGCTTTTTCTAGGTTATACTAATTATAATTGCTCCTAAAACCAGAAGTCCGTTTGTATTCTCTGTCCATGATACCCTTTTTGTGTTTACTAGTTCAATCTATCTTTAATTACTTTCCTCTCTTATCACTTGAATATACTTAGATATCTATTCGGCTACCTTAACTAGCTTTACAGACGCCTGAATTATTTGTCATATTCTTCAAGTTATTCTAGTCGCGAGTCAGACCATGCTACGAATTACCAGGTTTTGTCGAACAGTACGAAGGGCAGAGTTGAGGATTCGGTAGTGAATTCTGGCAGTGCAATGTAGTGAGGTATTGGATTCAACGTTTTTAGGATTTCCTCACTAGTATACAGTTCACGAGTTTTAAGTGGGAAAAATGGGTAGCGAAAACTTTCCGTGAATCGCTCGTGGTTTTTATACTAAATCACGGCTAGAAAACAGTGACTTTAGCCCATACAATTTGTTCTTTGTTTATAATTTTTTCTCTTAATGTCCAAATCAATGTTAAGGACCTTGAAAATCTTGGAAAGCTCCAAACTAAAGGACTTCGGTATCGCTGTGGAGGAAGAACTGTAATTTTTAAACGTACTCGATTTTAAAATGGCCTTGAACTGAAAAAGAAACATCAGGAACACCGAAAGGCGATACTAGATAGTCAGATCACATACAAACCACATGACAAACACAACTGTTGTAATGTGGGACACTGAATTCCGATTGCAGTCTATTTTGGATATTTGGTCGTTATTTATGATCTGATTATCCAAGTCACAGTACTTTGCAGATCTATGTGTTCGAATCCGTGTTATCAAGTATAAAGAAACAATTAAACGCTTTGGTTTTTATATTCAAAACAACTGAATTACCGAAGACATTAACCTTTCTAAATAAAATGTTATCATTAGAATTCAGTGTTTTATCATGAACGCAGTCATTAGTCTACTAAAATATTGGCATGGACAACGCTGGCATTTTTCAAATTCGGATGGACCGTTCAAAGTTTAAGACATAGGCAGAGCATTAAAAGATCCATGAGACTACACGGAGAAACGTAATATGAGGTACTGATAAAATCCGATAGTGGATATGTTACCAGATTCATTTCAGTGACCTATAAAATTGTTGTGGTTATTTTGATCACAATGACCACTAACTATTCATATGTCAAGACGTATTGCTTTTATATGAGTGTGCATGCTACATAAAAAATGCCTACCTACGCTGTCATTCGGAACCTCTTGTTATGCAGGAATTTTAAGACCAGTTAAACCAAAAGTCGAGGACGAGGGGATGAGAAGATATATTTAAATAATGGTTGATAGCTTGTGACATATTCAATCTGAGTTGACTGGTTGTTGTACGATGCGCAGCACTGCGTATCGATGCATCATCTGATGCGGTTGCTTCACGGAACGCTTTCATCTAGAGGTGTGTCCAGTAGGACTAATGAGGTCAGAATCAGTTTCTAGAACTTACAAAACAAATTACTTATCTGCCCATTAGGCTTACTCTTCCCTACTGAACTAATGAGAATCCGAAGATTTAATCGGACAGAAGATTGAACTCAATGAGCTTGCTGTCGGCAATCTCCTTCATGATAGTTTTTTTACTTTTAGTAGTGTCCATTTTTCGTTTCCAACTCAAAGAAATATAAATGATGAAGGTGTATAACAACAGAAAACATGGTTCTATGTACTCCTTAATTTTTCATCTTTCTCACTTGTCCTTTGAATGACAGAAAATAATGTAACTACGTGTTAAATGGATTTCTGGTACCCAAACGAGCAAATAGTACGAAACAATATTAACAAACCTGTATATATATATATATATATATATGGCACAATAATGAAAGCATTGAATACATGGAATGATATATATATGCATGTAAAGGAGCACACTTAAAACATGGTTCTTTAGTCTTTGACACAGTACCAATTAAAAATGAGACCAATAAACTGCAGAGCTTGGACAATGAGGAAAAAGGAATAAGCAGTGAAGTTTTAAACACCCACTCAAGTTCATTAGGTGGAACAAGAACTTTGTGGTCCCTCCAGATTGTCTAGTCCTAGATGCCAACGACGTATTTTGGTTCTCGTTAACTATTGTAGGAAGCATCTTAATCCCGATGATTGTGTAGTTTGACTGAGCTAACGGCTTTAATCCACTTCATGATGGCGCTTTCTTTTGTTGTTTTCTTATCAATTGCTTAGTTCCGAATTCCACAGTCACGTAGTTTATCGAATTTTTTGTGTGTAGCTTAGAGAAGGCAGCGTAATGAGCCTTGATGTATCAAAAGTTACAGTTCGTACGGTGCATCGTTTTTGAACGGATTATAAAAAGTGTGAAATCACTGTACATGAACATTTACAAATTTCTTGGTAGATCTTTCGTTCTGGTAGGTACCTCTAGTTTTATTGGCTGAAGAAATCACACTAGTTGTGAATACATCTTCATTTAGCTCATGGAACAGAACAGCTGGGTAGCGAGGTTATCTCTTTAAAACACAATACTCAATATGAGATAATAAGAAATGTAATCTCTATACAAAAGAGGAAAGCAGGTGAACACTTGATTTATAATGTTTTGAGGAAACTAAAATATTTGCAGTCTATTCCTAACTAATGAACTCAAGATATTAAACATATGCATGAATATTCCATCATAAGTTTCAGACTTTATCTAATTACTAACATTACCTGGTAATAAGATTGTCTTACATTGTTCCTACTCGCTCTCCTTCCACTTCTTTGTTTATTGTTTTATACTACTTATTTATATTCAGTAAGCAGTTGTATCCTCAACAATTTTCACATTTATATTGTAACGCGAGTTGTACTGTATCATTCAGAAACGCTCACATATATTTATGATGTTTATTGTACTCATCATTGTATTTGTCATTGTAATCACTGTACTTTAATTACTATAACGGTTATTCACAGTTGCGGATTTGTTTGAACGCAACAGTTTCCATATTGTTTGCTTTTGGTTCGAGTTTCGATTGTTCATAAACTGTTGTCCAATTTCGACACAGCCATTGGCTGTCTTTGTACTATTGAAGCCTTTACTATTTCATTCTTGAACGACGCGTTAAACGCCTAGACACCTCACAAGTTGAGGTTTGTAATTAAATTTTGTGTTTTATATAATAATAGAACCGCTTTTGTAGACAAATCGTTGTTTTGGAACTTCGATTTTGCGCGTATCTCAATCGGGTCATTTGGACGCTTCGATAGACTTAACAGTTCTCAACTTTGGTCTCATTGGTGTGGATACAGTTCTGGTCTTTGGTCCTAATTGGTGAAGATACTTGCTGTAACTAAATTGGTCGGAATCGAGTCTGGTTCGTTCATCCCAACGATGACGAAAACGAGAAGGATGAAGTACAACGATGACAGTTCCCAGAACACAGACAATTCTAATGCTGAAAATATTATTCCTTCAGTTTCTAAGGTGAATTCACCCATTTCTTTAAATCTTGCTCTTGATAATGTTTTACTTAACCCCAAAGACAGCTGTTCTGTAAGGGACAACAGTGTAGAGACTAGATATAGCATAGAAGACGAAGTAGTTTCTAGGGAAAAGGAAGTAGAAAGGATTGAGTTGGAGATTAGAGAACTTCAACAACGCAAACGATTGTTGGAGTTAACCCCGAACTCTAAGCCAAGTGAGAAAAGTGAGACTAATGAGTCATTGGGGTCTCGATCTGGAGACATAACACCAGCAGCCTCGTTAAGGCGCCAATACACCAATACACATTTGAGCGAAGCGGTGCAACTCAAAGCACAAGCGGATAGTATCAAGTCACTAGTTATGACAGCCAGTTTACCTAAGATAGAGGTTATGAAATTTGATGGAAGTCCTTTGAAATTTTGGACGTTCATAAAAGGATTCAAGGCTAACATTGCCGACAGAGTAGAGGATGATACTCAGAAATTAATGTGCCTGGCACATTATTGTGAAGGCGCAGCTAAGGACGCTATAGAGCACTGTG